GTGGGATTGCTCTATGAGCTCGAAGAACTCTTCCACAGTATAAGCATCTAAGTCTTTCAATTTCTTCGAGAAAACGCTGAAAGTAGCGTCAACGTCTGTATGGGTGTGTCCCACCAGCATGAAACCTATTTCTACCTCTTCGAAAACTTTGAACTTAAGCAAAAGTGCAGCCATCGCACATATGTACTTGTTCTTGTTTTCCCGCCAACAGTTATCCGCTTGAATGCGCAAACACCATGGCAGTGACGTCCTGCTCCCTTGAATTTCGACAAGGGTTCTCATAACACAAGTAGCGACTGTGTTCGAATCGTGTTTGAAATACGGAAACCACGTGTATACATATATACTAGGGTCTCTTCCATGTGCAATGACGCCTGTCAAATTAGTCTTCATCATCATCTCGTGCCTAAGTGCTTTCGAGTAGTTCGCTTGACCAATATGGGGGATAATTGTTTTCTTCTGATCCATGCCGTCAATGATAAGACACAAACGCTCGTTCGAATGAACCATGAATCAGTTTTCGCTTGACTGTAGTCCAATCTGTGTTCAACTTGCCTCCTTTCGTGTGCTTTCATATTCTCTCGAGCTCGTTCTCGATCTCGAGGAAGAGCAACATACTGTATACGTTCCTTCAGCTCATGACAGACGGCGCACTTCGTGAACGTGTTAGATTGCGCGAGGGAAACATGGAAAAAGTGTTTCCGCCACAGCTTATAAAAGTTGGACTCAGACACGACATCGAGGCCAGCAGCCAGAAAGTCGGATTTGATTGACTCATAAATTGATCTCTTCGTGAAAGCAGCCGGTAGTCGAAGCTTCGGTCTGCAAACCCCACCTTGGTTAGCCACCTCATTCGGCATGCTATCCGCATGACACTTGATGAACGTTCTCATGCTGGCAAGTATGGCGACCGTTTTATCGGTTGGCCGATATCTTTCCGTCAGGCCATGCTCAGAACGCACGTAGCCATCGTCGAAACGCTTTTTGTAGCTGTAAAATGTATTACGGGAGACACCGAGTACATTGCAGTACGCCCTGACGTACATCGAACGTTCCAACTCCACAGGGTGGACAAGTTTCTGTCCACCCTCATTTACTGTGAAATCCTTCATACTTTTCATCCACGACTCAGCTCGCTCTCCCGGACTCTTATTGTACAGTCCTTATCTAACCTTTCGCACTTCCTCAGGCGACACGTCGTAACAACATCGAGCCTTGCAACATGCCATGCCGCGCACCATGAGCAGTACTTTTTCGGACAGCATGTTCCTCGCTCTTTTGTACTGTTCTTTCCTCCTAGCGGTCCTATTAGCCATGCTATACCGTCGTCTTTCGTGTGGCGGAGGTGCGGGCAAAATCTGCAGTATCGCCCTTCTCTCTTCATCACCTCTGCCAGACGCTTCCGACCCAGACTGACTCTCAATTGGAATCGCATCATCACTTCGCACTTGCGTTGGACTCGCCCGTGATGTGGAAAGCTCATCCGAAGAGCAGTCGGTGGCAACCAACTTCGTACTACTGGAGCTAGCGCGAAGCAAAGGTCCACTGGAAGAGGACTGTGGTCCAGAAGAGTAATCAGTAACCACCAACCGCTCACTCTCGTCATCAGATGATGCGTAAGAAACACCCATCGGCACGCGACTGCTGTGCGCCGAGGCTGCGGGGTGCACCTCCCCAGGAATGTGGAAGTCGATCCTGGAGGCAGACGGTTCTTCGCCCGCGGACGTTGTTGCCAATTCTGTTGGCGGTTGGATGCAACCTCCAAAGCTCTCACAAAAAGCGAGACTCCGTTTTTTGTGCAAAGTTGCAACGGACTGTTGGAACGACGAACTGTCCGAAGAGGACTATTGGAACGGCGAACTGTCCGAAGAGGTCGTCGGGGTCAATCCTAGGTGTTGTAGCTGGTAACATAAGTCGACAGCTTGTTCAGTTTCCATAGCCCGGTTCATCTTGCCGTTCGCCCAACCATCTTTGGCGCCGTCATGTAACCGTCGGTGCAGCGGATGTGATTCCCGTCAGCGTAAATGATTAATCTCTCTTGCGCGGATTGAACGGTTCATTCGAATTCATGTCCACACCCTGCAAAACAGCGGAGCAAACTGTAAGCACGATTACTATAGAAGTAAGTGCTAACCTCCCCCCCTTGAAGGGGTTTATGGGGGTTGCCGACGGTGACCACGGCCGTGTTCCTTATTTTCGGCAACCCCCATAAACCCCTTCAAGGGCATTTCAGAAGGCGAGCAATTTCTCGCACCCACAGTCCTCTCGCAATCAACTCGCATTCGAAACTCCAGGCGTCACGCGAAGGACGTTGGATATGCGCCGATTCTCAAAGTGCGCCAGGATCCGAACTTGGTTGATTCGCCTGTAGCGTTTAACAGGTCTTCGCGTGGCTGCAGGTATCGGAACGGGTGGTTGGCGTTTGCACAGAAGCAGACGATGCTCGGGCGCACCGCATTTCGGGGTGGAGATGAACGAAGATCCACGGCATACCGGAAATGGACCCGGCCAGTGACACCTACGTCAACCCCAACGAACCCCTTTCAGGGCAACTCAGAAGGCGAGCGCTTTTGACGAAGGACGGGAAAGTCGAAGCTGTCGAAAATAACGGTTAGATTCACGCGGAGACTCTAAGTTGCCCGGGATCCGAATTTGGCGGGTGCTGGAGTAGCAAGGGTCTTCCAAGTCGAGCGATTCGATGACGCACATTATGTGAAGTCCGCCGAGATCCGAGACAGAAGCGAAGTCCTAGCTATTGAAAATAACGGTCAGATTTACGAGGAGCCTAAAAGTTCGCCGGGATCCGAATTTGGCGGGTGCTGGAGTAGCAAGGAACTTGTTTTTGCGCGGCCGGTGTCAGTGGAAGGGAGCGCCAGTGGGTGCACACAAGGAACGCTCTGTTTGGGCGCACAGAAGGAAGGCTCTATTGTCGTTGAGAGAAAGCACGTGCAGAACAAAGGGAAGTGGTGGATGCACCACCACACAATTCGGCGCAGCGCGACCCCAAACTGACCCCTATAAACATTGATTATCACCATAGTCTACGCGAGCTCGTGTGGTGTTCCATTCAAATGTACTAGTGCAAGAGCTTATCGAACTCGGACATGTCCACTTTGCAGACAACAAAAATGTAAAAATGGATGAAAGATCCCTCTGCAACCCTTCCAAACAATGATTTGGTCAATTGATAAGGCGACCCCCGACTCGCGCGCGTGGAACGCCAACGTGCGACAGCGCAAACCGCACAGCACACAGAAACACAAGCATGTCTGCGACAATACTCCGCGCAACGCGACGGTCAAAACTCTTGGGGGGCAACAAAGATAGGGGGTGCGAAAAATTATTCGCCTTATGAAATGCCCTTGAAGAGGTTTACGGGGGTTGTCGATGGTGACAACGGTCGTGTCCCTTATTTTCGGCAACCCCCATAAACCCCTTGAGGGGCATTTCAAAAGGCGAGCAATTTCTCGCACCCACAGTCCTCTCGCAATCAACTCGCATTCGAAGCTCCAGGCGTCACGCGAAGGACGGTTGGATATGCGCCGATTCTCAAAGTCCACCCTGATCCAAACTTGATTGATTCGTTGTAGCGAGTAACAGGTCTTCGCGTGGCTGCAGGTATTGGAATGGGTGGTTGGCGTTTGCACAGAAGCAGGTGATGCTCTGGCGCACCGCATTTCGGGGCGGTGATGAACGAAGATCCACCGTCCACGGCATACCGGAAATGGACCCGGTCAGCGACACTGACGTCAACCCCAATGAACCCCTTTCGGGGCAACTCAGAATGCGAGCACTTTTGACGACGGATGAGGAAGGCCAAGCTGTCGAAAACAACGGTCAGATTTATGCGGAGCCTCAAAGTTCGCCGGGATCCGAATTTGGCGGGTGCTGGAGTAGCAAGGAACCTATTTTCGTCTGGCCTGTGTCAGTGGAAGGGAGCGCCAGTGGGTGCACACAAGGAACGCTCTGTTCGGGAGCACAGAAAGAATGCTCTGTTGTCGTTGAGCGAGAGCACGCGTAGAACAAAGGGTAGTGGTGGATGCACCACCACACAATGCGGCGCAGCGCGACCCCAAACTGACCCCTATAAACACCGATTCTCACCATCGTCTACGCAAGCTCGTGCGGTGTTCCATTCAAAGGTTGTAGTGCAAGAGCTTATCGAACTCGAACATCTCCTCGTCGCAGAGAACAAAAATGTAGAAATGGATAAAAGATCCCGCTTGCAACCCTTCCAAACGTTGATTCGGTCAATTGACAAGGCGACCCCCGACTCGCGCGCGTGGAACGGAAACGTGCGATAGCGTGAACTGCACAGCACGCAGAAACACAAGCATATCTGCGACAATAGCCCGTGCACCGCGACGGCCAAAACCGTTGGGGGGCAACACAGATCGGGGGTGCGAATAATTGTGCGCCTTCTGAAATGCCCTTGAAGGGGTTTATGCCGACGGTGACAACGACCGTGTCCCTTATTTTTGGCAACCCCCACGTACCCCTTGAGAGGCTTTTCAGAAGGCGAGCAATTTCTCGCACCCACAGTCCTCTAGCTATCAACTCGCACTCGAAGCTTCCGGCGACACGCGAAGGACGGTTGGGTATGCGCTGATTCTCGAAGTCCGCCAGGATCCGAACTTGGTTGATTCGCCTACAGCGAGTAATAGGTCTCCGCGCGACTGCAGGTATTGGAACGGGTGGTTGGCGTTTGCACATACCTTGTCAAAATACACAAAAATTCTATTCATGGCGGCGATGAACGAAGATCCACGGCACACCGGAAATGGACCCGGCCAGTGACACCGACGTCAACCCCAATGAACCCCTTTCAGGGCATCAGAGAATGCGAGCACTTTTGACAACGGACGGGGAAGTCCAAGCTGACAAAAACAACGGTCAGATTCACGAGGAGACTCTAAGTCCGCCTGGATCCGAATTTGGCGGGTGATGGAGTAGCAAGGGTCTTCGAAGTCGAGCGATTCGACGACGCACATTACGTGAAGTCCGCCGGGATCTGAGGCAGAAGCAAAGTCCAAGTTGTTGAGAAAAAACGGTCAGATTTATGCGGAGCCTCAAAGTTCGCCGAGATCCGACATTCGCGGGTGCTGAGGTGGCAAGGAACCTTTTTTCGCGCGGCCGGTGTCAGTGGAAGGGAGTGCTAGTGGGTGCACACAAGGAACGCTCTGTCTGGATGCACAAAAGGAAGGCTCTGTTGTCGTTGAGCGAGAGCACACGTAGTACAAAGGGAAGTGGTGGATGCACCACCACACAATTCGGCGCAGCACGACCCCACACTGACCCCTATAAACACCGATTTTCACCATCGTCTACGCAAGCTCGTGTGGTGTTCCATTCAAAGGTATTAGTGCAAGAGCTTATCGAACTCGGACATCTCCACTTCGCAGAGAACAAAAACCCAGAAATGGGTGAAATATCCCCCCAGCAACCCTTCCAAACATTGATTCGGTCAACCGACAAGGCGACCCCCGACTCGTGTGCCTGGAACGGCAACGTGCGACAGCGCGAACCGCACAGCAACCAGAAACACAAGCATGTCTGCGACAATACTCCGCGCACCGCGATAATTAAAACCCTTCGGGGGCGACAAATGTCGGGGTTGCGAAAAATTGTTCGCCTTATGAAATGCCCTTGAAGGTGTTCATGGAGGTTGCCGACGCTGACAACGGACGTGTCCCTTATTTTCGGCAACCCCCATAATCCCCTTGAAGGGCATTTCAGAAGGCGAGCAATTTCTCGTACCCATTGTCCTCTGGAAATCAACTCGCACTCGAGGCTCCAGGCGTCACGTGAAGGACGGTTGGATATGCGCCGATTCTCAAAGTCCGCCAGGATCCGAACTTGGTTGATTCGCCTGTAGCGAGTAGCAGGCATGTGACGTGGCTGCAAGTATTAAAACGGGTGGTTGGCTTTTGCACAGAAGCCGTCGTCAACCCCAATAAACCCCTTTCAGGGCAACTCAGAAGGCGAGCACTTTTGACGACGGACGGGGAAGTCCAAGATGTCGAAAATAATGGTCGGATTTACGCGGAGACTCTAAGTTCGTCGGGATCCGAATTTGGTGGGTGCTGGAGTAGCAAGGGTCTTCCAAGTCGAGCGATTCGATGGCGCACATTACGTGTCCGCTGGGATCCGAACTTCGTCAAATCAGGGTTCCCGACAATCACGGCGAAGTCAAACAGGCAAGGCCAGTCACAAACGTTGTTGGCAATGACAACACATTCGTCGGTCATGAATCGGGGTATTCTGATTCAATCTATTTGACGGAGCACACTACGCAAGTCCGCCGGGATCTGAACTTCGTGGATCCAGGGCTTTCGTCAAATAATACTGAGTCGAACTGCCTGTCCGAAAACCGATCAGTCAAGGCACCAAGGTTGTCTTGGCAGCCGACGGGACGGGCGATGCAAATTTCTTGATATCTGCTGATTTCCGAACTTTGTCGAACCAGGGCCATCCCGATTGAGCCTGTCCGCTTGTCCAAAAAAGCGAGCAGTCATTCCGGCACCGTTCATGTTGCAACCCGCAAACTGCCCGCAACCGTAGCGGTAGGTGTGTTGTGTCTTGGTCCGGACAATTCTGGAGACGTGTGCATATTGCATTCCGTGCTCGTCCGCCGGGACCCGAACTTCATGTTCACGATCTCGGGCTGCACTGGTGGGGATGAAGGGATCGCAGTCGTGCTAGTCCGCCGGCATTCGAACTTCGACTTCGTGCTCTTGCTAGAAGGAACATGTGCGAGATCGGATCCCGGTGGGCCACGTCACATGCCTCCTTCAACTTCGCTCGTGAAATGTTCAGACGCGTCAACAACGACCAGACTGCTGGCCCAATTGCGAGCTTTCGTCGCTGCATAACGAGGTTCGCTCCGTGTTGCCACGTGGGCCGCAGCGCACTCATCGTGTTAGGAGGAGGACGTCCATCAGTCCACATGCCAGACAACGGCGAGAACCTCATTCCGCATCGACGACAGTTCTATCGACCACATTGCACAACTGCAGTCGATCCGGGACGGCAGCCCCGCTTTATGCGCAGCCCCGCGTCATCTTCCGCGCTTTGTCCACCGCCGTTTGAACAGCGAACCCACGCGCAGTCGCGAACGTAATCGCGATTTCCATGCGAACGATCCATTCTGCAGACGACATCTTCATCGGGGTGAGTACACGTTTCGTGTGTGCAGACGTTCCGTGTGTATGACGACATCTTCATCGTGCACAGGGATTCGTGTTAGATGGATTCGTTGTACAGGCTTTCGTGTAAGAGGGATTCGTTGTAGAGAGATTCGTATGTGTGACTGTGCACATTTCGTATGAATGTTTGGAAGTCGATCCGTTTCGTGTGAATGCAAACATGTCGTGTGTGTATGTATGAAAACGTCACGTCTGCGAAAACGGGAAACATTTCGTGTAAGACGGATTCGTTGTAGAGGGATTCATGTAAGTGGGATTCGTTGTGTGTGCACGCATGATCTGCGCACGTTCGAGCGGTCTTCTGCATTTGATTCCTTGTGTGTGCATGCACGCTTGCTCACTTGTGTCAGGAGTCGCGTCGTCTGTGTGTGCTTATTTTTTTGTTCCTGCAATGTGTGCAATCGTGTGAGCGTATGTAGATGTCATAAATCGTGTGTGGGCAGACAGCGCTGAACCCACGCGGTTCCTCCAGAGAATCATTGATGGAATCCATGGCCAACCATCCCATGCAACCGGTGGATCGAACGATCCACCCTTGGACGCTTCACGACACTATACCGGCCGCGAGTATCACGCAAGCGGTTGTCTGTTTAGTTGATAGGTGGACAGTCGACTCATACAAGCAATCAATTCACCGAACAACGCACCCTTCCACTGAAAAATCGACCGATTATCGAGCAGATTATTCCGCGTTATTCGGTGGACTGATTGCGCACGGCTATTTACGTTTGGTATGGGGCATGACTTGTTTGGTCGAGAACCCGCGAGAACAGGTTGTGTGTGACAACCAAACGATTTATTGGTCGTATGTTGAGCTCACCTTTTCCGATAATGAACTTGCTCAATGGGTGCATGCCGCTTCGTTTGCGCTGATCATACACGTGCATGTATAGATAGCCTAGGTATAGATGGCCGGTCATCATCTCAGATCTATAAGTGAGCGAAGCGGCACGCACCCGTCGAGCAAGTTCGTTATCAGGAACGATGAGCTTGATAATCCTCCGATAGATCTAAACGTGAGCGAAGCGGCACACACAACCAGTTCCGCATCATTACCATCCGCGGCTTTTCGACCAAACGAGAATAGCCGTACGAAACCCGCCAAACGACGGCAGCAATATAGCGTCATCCAGAACACGACCGCGCATCCATCTCGAATCCTCATCGATCTCTTTGTAGATGAACTTTTGTTCGGCATTGAACCTTGTTCAGCACTCAGCCTTGTTGCATATCGAACCAACCGTGGTCGACATCGAACCTTGTTCGACATCGAACCTTGTTCGAGATCGGAAGAACCTAGTTCGACATGGAACCTGGGTACTCCACGACCAGCATAGGACGGGTGCAAGAAGAAGTTCGCCGGGATCCGAACTTCACGTTTTCTCTGAGGCGGACGATCGAAGAAGTCCGCCCGCATCCGAACTTTCGCGTCCGGCTTACCCTTCATCCGATGTTCGGGCGCCACCAGCGGAGGCAACTGGAGAAGTCCGCCCTCATCCGATCTTCAGTGGTCGGTCTGCACTGTTTCCTATGCTCGAGCACCGACTGCGGGTGCGTACTGATGAAGTTCGCCCGGGTCCGAACTTCGACGACAACAATGATCTCTATCCAGTGCTCGAGCACCGGCTGCAGGCGGACGACCGAAGAAGTCCGCCTGCATCTGAACTTTCGCGTCCGACTTACCCTTCATCCAATGTTCGCGTGCCGCCAGCGGAGGCAACTCGAAAAGTCCGCCCGCATCCGATCTTCGTTGGTTGGCCTGCAATGTTTCCAATGATCGAGCACCTGGTGCGGGTGCTTACTGTTGAAGTCCGCCCTAATCCGAACTTCAATGACTGTCCTGCTGTCTATCCAATGGTCGAGCACCGGCTGCGGGTGCTTAGCCACGAAGTCCGCCCGAATCCGAACTTCAACTTCGCGTGTTTTATGCTTGGGAGCAGAGCAGGGCAGTCGGCGACATTCGGATGAGGAATAGGGAGGTCACTGAAGTGCGGATGTGGGCGGACTTCTGAGGACAAAAACTATGCAGCCGAAGTGCTCTGTCCTATCCAATGCTCGAGCACCGACTGAGGGTGCTTAGTGACGAAGTCCGCCCGAATCCGAACTTCAAATTCGCGTGTTTTACGCTTGGGAGCAGAGCAGGGTAGTCGGCGACGTTCGGATGAGGTATAGGGAGGTCACTGAAGTTCGGATGCGGGCGGACTTCTGAGGACAAAAACTCTGCAGCCGAAGTGCTCGGTCCCGCGTCGTTGGTCGACTGGAGAAGTCCGCTGGCATCCGAACTTCAATGATCGGGGTGTTTCCTTGCTGTGCATTCGCACTCCGCGTGCTTACTCTGTGCGTGGGCAGCGCGTGCAGGCATGTGGAACATCGTGAATTTTCATTTCGGGACTTTACGTCTATGTGTAGCCGTGCCCACGTGTGTATCGTCTGGTATGTGCCCGTGGTCTGTAGGGAGCGTAATGGAGGCGACCTTCTCGACACCACGGATAATGGAGTTGATGTTCTCGACACCACGGACCATGAGTCCCGAGATGCACGTTCGATTGGCAGAACCGTTTCCTCATTGTGCGAGATCCGTGCGGTATTTTAACAGTGTAACTACGATCCATGGAGCGACCGCGGAGGACTTCAACGAGGACCCCTGGATGACCATCGTCCCGTGCATGGAGGAGCAAATTGACGGTTGGTGCGATRGGAATTGGTCCTCGATGGAGAGGCGCTGCCCTTGKGCAAGCCAGTACAAGTTCGCTTACTTGTTGGAGTTTGGGAACCTCATCCCGCTGCCTGACGCTGTCCTTGGCCACAAGTTCCTGAACCGTATGCGCAGAGCACTGACCAACATTAGCCACCATTTCAGCCGCCTYGAGTGCCACTACGTCAGGTCGTCGCCAYGAACTTGGGGAGGCTCGCGGAAACAAGAGTTGCTGGACTGCGCCCGTCACTGCCCGTTCCTGGAGCARTACCCGCTCTGTTGCCCTGGGAATTCTCCACAAGCTGTGTCATACTGTTGTGTGCGGCTGACCGTGTCCGGATCCGATTTCGCCAGGGTTCTATGTGTCGCCACCTCGAATAAGAATAGGAAACTCGTCGATGCAGTTGTGCTTGTGTCACGCAACGAGGTGGTAATCGAGGGGTCCAAATTTGTGCCGGCGCGAGGGCCTGAACGTGTGGATCGGTGGCCAGATTTGGCGATCRCAGGGCACGTCCAAAACTTTACTTTGTGGCATGAGGTGGAAGAGAAAGTGGCTGACATACGGGACTTTATAGGAAATTCCTTAGCACGACCGGGAGTTTTCGTCAGGATGAAATACATGTCCGTCTTTTCGGAGAGTGCATCAGTCGATGAACCGCAGATCCGCGTGTACGGATCATCAATGAATGCGTTGTMTGGTTTTGGTTCACGACCACGTCTCCGGGGACCCCCGAGTGTCACCAGGTCTAGACGGGCAATTAGACCTTGAGTTTAAGCGAGAAAGTGTGAGACGCTTGTGCGCTGYCRAAAATGGCAGATGTGAAGTATTGTTGACAGGTGTGAGAGGCTGCAGTTGCTAGTCGACGATATGCCCCGCACTCGTCGTGAAAATCCCTGGTTTTCGTTCAGCAYAACAATCACCGACTCACGGGTCGTATGTCTCTAACGCCGTCCCTTTCCAAATCGAGCCCCGCTGAAGTTCGKATCCCGGCGAACTTYGCCTTCTGATAGTCACTCGCGTGGSCCGCCGCACCCGAGCTTCAATGACGACCTTCGCCATCGGTGGGCTGTTAGACCGTGTCCGCGCACTGCAACTGTAGATTGGATGGYGCAGTGTGACAGTTCGGGTGCCGGTGGACAACCGCACTTGCCMCACATCGACAATACGTGAGGGTCTGATGCCAAAACARCCGACACCACCRACAACATGTGACTGTCATTATCTACGCAATCGTTCTGGTTCGGTTTCCAACAACCGCCACTAGTTTAGCAACACAGTGGGATCAGGGCAGACTTCGTAGGGCGGACTTCTTCGGGCCACACACGTGTGCTGTTTGGAGGGGGTGCCTCGATGGCTGYGACGCTTRAAGCCTCGGAACAGGCCTCGCGCTACCGAACGGCTTTYCGACCACCTTCAAGGTGTGCCGAACAGTCGGCGGTAATCGTTGCGGACTGCCAAACGCACTCTTGTGGTACCTCCGTTTCTGGCCTTCTTGTTGGATCTGGGCATGTGTCGAACARAGTTTCGCACTCCACAAACAGAGCCCCCCCCCCGGGACCGAAGGGTTCTCTGTTCTTCGGGCAGTCCTTCGGGATGCTGAATGGCAATTGAGTGCGCAGGTGCTCCTGGCTYGGGCRGTCCGCACTCCYTGCGAGCCTCTCGGTTGTCATGGGCGATTTGTGAAGTTCGCCGGCATCCGGACTTCCTCGGTTTGTACCGTGACGTCGTCGTTCCTTCCGTTTCGATACGAGRTCCTCGAGCCCCGGCGTCTTCTGATTACGGATGTTGGGCATATTTCTWCCAGAACGTGCCTCCGAGTCTCCGACCACTTCTCMACTGCCCCWTCCATGCGTCCACACATCCTGAGCATATACCGAAGTCCGCATGTATCCGCACTTCGTCAATGTCTTAGCCAGATCGTTCTTCGTCGTTGTAGCTCCCCCTTCGTCTTGTGTTCAGGACTATGGCGCCCGACAATGTGTCGGCGGGAACTCCCCAAAAGGACACTTCTTCGTGTCAGGGCATCCTGCCGTGCAGCGCACTTGTTACTCGACAAAAGTTCGCCGGTATCCGGACTTCGCACAGGGGTTCTCCATTCGAACACCGTCGCTATTCTGCCCCTTACGTGCGGTCAACAAGGGTGCGCGGAGAGCTGTTCTCTGTTCAGAACATTTCCTGGCGCTGTGCAAGCGATGACGTCCGGAGGACGTCTTCACCCTCCGCTCCACGGGAGCGCACCTCCGCTTAGAGACTGTTGTGTTTACTACACGCCAGGAATTTTGTTTTTCTGTGCCRTGTCATGGCTAGTCCGTCGGCATCCRAACTTCTCTGTTGTGCTGATTGTTTGTGCATTCCGTGTTTCCCGATGTTTCTTTCGTTTGGGCTAGTGCAGACAGAATGTCTACATCAAGGGGCGAGGAACAGCCTACCGGGACCTCGGGAAGGGAATCGACGACCAAAAAGTCTTGGTCCGATCATATGCGCGCGAAATGGTATGTTGACTGGCGCTGCGGGGATGAGAACGACCCCACGAGAGCGCCGTGCGGTCCGGTTCTATTCGTGGAAGATAGTAGACGCTGGAGAGTGCTTGGTTCGGTTGAGGGATCGAAAGCGGCTAGGAGTCACGACAAGATGTATTTCAAGCTGCACGTGGTTTATAATTCAAAGGGCGGCATCGTGGCTGCTTCCAAAGGGGCGGCCCTGTCGTGGGATCTGTTCCGGGGGTTCGGTGCAGGGGCCTTGAGGACCCCTATCTACACAGACCTCGCGGCTGAAGGTCTTGTTTCTGCTAGGGAGTTCTTCAACTTGTTGGAAAAGAGAGACGTCCACCTTGATGAACCCTGCCAGATCTCATGCGACCAGKCGTTGTCSCAGCCTGTGCAGATGTGCACCGGGTTCGAGTCAAGTGGTGCTCCGTCCGAGGGAGGAGATTTGGGTTCCGGTGCTTCATTCCAACTCCACTGCGGGGAGGAACGTGGTCGCTTYGACGACAGTGAGKRGGAAGAAGAGGAGAGAACGTCRGGTTCGCCGGTTAGAGGAGGAGACTGTAGGGTGCTGAGCATTCCGGGGGTTGCGATAAGAACACCGGTCCAGGAGYGGCCCTCGACGTCTGCCGGGGGTCACACAATGGGGTCGGGGGGGAGGCCTGCTGGCATCTTGTCCGGTGGATAAGAGGGTGAACAGCAGTCATCGCAAAAGAGAAGTGGAGATTCTCGTGGAGATTCGGCGGCTGCATCAAAAAAACAGAAGACAAAGGTCCCGCAGATGTCAGGGGGAAAAAGGAAGGGAGGGGAGCGGCATGTGGGCGCTGCGAGTCACAAACGCCCATCCTCGGCGCAGATTCAGCCCCTGTCCGTCCCTGTGCAGCAGAYGGGTCCGATCGACATCGATGCGTCGTATTTCCTCGAATGGAAAGACGGCGTGCTCACAAAGCAYGAGATACCCGTTAACCYGTCGCAAGTMGTCGACATCGGGGAGTGGGAAGCGGGGTACAACCAACGTTCCTTGGATCCGRTGCATACACAGCTGATCATCGACGCGATGACGACGGCCTACTCGCAGGCCTCGAAGACTTACGAGCTTCCCACACTGAAGCTGGCGCCGTTGGGGCTGGAGAAACCGAAGCCGTGGGTGCGTGCACAGCGTCTGAAACCCGAGGGCTGGAAGGAYGAGCTGGCGGACCAATACTACTACTACGCTGTTGCCCGCTAGCATAACGCGGCCGCCGCCAGGACGCTGCTTGGCACAKACATGGCGGTGAGGCACAACTTCGAGAGGTGGCCTGCGCGAATGGTGTACTTCTCMGATGCGGACTTCAAAGGGTATTTTCTGGTCAGCGCCGAGGATAACAAGAAGGACCTGAAGGCGCCTCCCAGACAGCAGAAACTTTCGATGAAGGACGTCCGGTGGTGCTGGAAGGAAAAGGGTTACCCCAGAGCTGTTATGGGGAACCCGAGCGGGAAATAGGCTGAGGTGGAGTCTTGGCGCTGGTTTTGTGAAGAAGCGCTTCAAAAAACGTCGTACAATCATTTGTGGACACTCGCTGACGACAAGACCGAGCAAGGCATAAGGAAGCAGAACGCTGCCCTTCGATCTTATTTCCCGCTTGCGATGGCCGGGGAGAGCGCGTGGAAAATGGAAATGGAATTTTTCGAGAAATGGGAGACGGGCAGGCTGCTGGCACCCGAAGGGGCGAAGTGGATCRCGAAGAAGAAGAAGGTAAAGGGCGTCAAGGCCGGTGTGAGCCACATCGAAAATGACAAGACCGGGCGAAAGGAGGTCGTCTACAACATCCCCGTCAAAGCGCCTCAAAAGAAAGGAAAAAAAGAAAAGGAATCCACGACTGGTTCGTCCAAGTCAACGAGTCAGATCCGCACTGMTGGAAAAGCATGGAAGCCCTCACGGACAATGAGAAATGTTGGCTGCTGAGGAAGGTTCTCAACTGCGAGGTGGTGTGGGTGCAGACCGGCTCCTCTACGTTGGCAAAGCAAGGGAAGATGGGGATGCAAGAGGCAGTGCATCTGGTGAAGTGTGACCGCATCTTGGTGYGGTTATGGAACTACTACCAGTTCAAGTATGAGAATCCGCCCGACTCCGATTGGACGCGTTCGTATCCCTTCCTGCGGAAAAAARAGGCGATTTTGGCGCAGTTCAAAAGCCAGGGACTGGATGCAGCATTGTGGGATGGAAGCAGGAAACTCGTTGGAGACTCATCGTTGTTCAGAGACTGTCCCCCGCTCATGGGCTGCGAGGACGACAAGTCGATCAAGGCGACGAAAAAACTGGTTCTCAACAAGAAGTTGTCCATCGACTGGAAGAAGAAGGTCCTTTCCRTGCTGACCGGCAKCAGGTCGAAGAGCATGGATGTCGYGCTCGCCGAAGGCATGGTGCATATTCGGTGGCAGGACTCGGGGGATGTGACATCCATCGCCSCCTTCGGCGTCGATCCTCAGGAGGCGCAGATGAAGGTCATCGAGTTGGAGAAAGCGGTTGGGATCACGAAATGCCACACTGCCGTTCTTGATTTGTGCGAGCCTGTGGACATCACACAGTGGACACAGCAAGCTTTCGAGAGTTTGAATGCCCTTCTAGAACATTTGTTCCCTTCGCACTGGACGGTCGTTGCTTTCGTCCCCCGGGAGCACGACTACTACTTCATGACCAGTCTGCGCCGACTGTCTGTTGTCAAGGCAATGGCAGGAAAGTGGGTGAGGAGGCCGCATCAGAAGAAAAGCTTCGCGGTCGGCAACAACTTGTACTCTGTGGACGACCGCATGTACATCCTCTTCAAAGGTGAYGACTTGTGRRAGAACATATMTGTGGTTTACGACGCAAGCTTGGAGGCGGGTGATGCTGCTGCTGTGGGGGCACATGTCAAAGTCACACCGATGGACGTCTCGGAGATGCCTTTCGAGCCTTGTGAATGGCCCCTGGTCATACCTGGCCRTGACCGCAAAGTTTACAAGGACATGGAACGGAACCCCGCGCAGTTGGCCCATCTGCTGGAATTCGTGTGCAAAAAGGGGAAGGGTGTCATGTTTCTCGGGAAGGCGCACGCGCAAGTCGTGTGGGAGGCTTTGAAGGGCAGTCGCAACGTCATCGCRTTGGAGGGGAATTCGGAGTTGCTGCAATACACGTTGGATTTCCTGAAAGGCGCGGTYAACTCGGGAGCCCACCGCTGCGAGTTCATTTCGAGGACGGACAAACCGCGACGCGCTTGGGAGCCGGCCACGGACATGTGGTTCAAACTAAGCGAGAGGAAAAGGGATAGGATATACGAGTTCCTCTTCCAGGAGACGCGGCCCAGGAGGGTTAGTGACCCTGAGTATATTCGACGCAGGAAGCTCATGTTGGCGTTGCTGGACAACTACCACGATGCCTCGCGTTTGAATGCAAAGAACTTCCTGGACCGACTGGAGTGTTTGTACTTTGTCGAGTCGGAGCAGGAGCTCCRGGTCGCGAGTTACAGTGCATTGATTGACACGGACGAAGAGGCAATGACCGGAGTCATTTTCGACACGAATGTTCCAGAGAAGGATAGGGACACCGAGGAAATCGCCCTGAATTACCTCCCTGCTCCTGTTCTTCCGCCCCCGGGCTCCTCGACGGCAGGTGCATCGTCAACCCAGGCCACTCCAGCGTCGCCCGTTCGCAGGTCCACCCCCGACAAGAACCCCAGCAAGCTGTTGGCGAAACTCACACCCCGTAGTGTTTCCCCGCCTCGCTTGCGTCCAAGGAGTGCAGTCCCGCCGGAACATCCTTCTTGGAAGGATATGTCCATTCACTTTGAAGGGCACGACCACACTCGTTCTAGTGAAGCAGACTGGGGTCACGACATGATTTGGCACCCGGGAACGATCCACCCTGCAATCCGCGAAGGGGAGTGGATCATGGCCGTCGTGGACTCGGCTGGGGAGTGGGAGCCATGCTTGCGCCTTCCCAAGTCCGAGTACTTGCAACTCGCAAGCAGTGGTGTGGCGGATAAAGTGGCGTCAGAGAACCCCCTTTTCCAGGCCACCGACCCGGCCGTCGTTAAACACGCTGATCATTTGTTTCTGGAGCTTCAAGACAAGGGGTGGTTGGAACTCTCGGACGAGTTTTACGACTTCGATATGAGCCCTTCGAAGGGACGCGTGGACTGGAAGGTCCCCCTTGCGACGGGGTCGCAGGGGAGTGCGGGAGGGGGACCTCTAGGCCCTCCGGGCGGTGGAGGGGGTGGGGGARGCAGCAAGGGGACAGGAGAGGGCGCCACGTCAGGGGGATCGGTTGGCACTCACTACCAGGGCAGAACAGTGGAAACCGGCGGCCGGGTAGGGTGGTTGAACGTTGCTGACAAGACGACCGTCGGGGCCAGCAAATCGGCTAAGTTCGCCGACATCCGAACTTCTCAGAACGTGGAGCCGCCGCCTTTGGACGCTGCGAAGTCTTTTGGCGTCCGCGCTGCATCCACTACACATTGCTCGGCCCTCCCCTCGACAACTAAATTCGCCGCTTTCGTTGGCACCGGKAGAGGCTCGAGTGTCGTTGTTCCGATCTCCAGCGTCAAGTACAAGTCCGCCGCCATCCGGACGAAGCCTCGGGAGGTACACGATGGGGAGCTCGTCCTGCGCAGCGCCACAGGAGCAGAAGTGTCGGAAACGGGTGCCGAAACGAAGTCCGCCGGAATCCGCACTTCGGTTTCGTCCGGTGCGACGTCCGACGACTTTCCTACGTGGCAGGGGACTGCATCGGCCGTCGGAGATGGGCAGCCTGCAGAGTTCAATGCACGGTTGGATAGCGGGGCGCCGTCTGTGCTCTGCAATTTGAACTCCGCCGGTATCCGAACTTGCTGGGGAACGGACCTGCAGTCAGAGGTCGTCGGGCRGGCGGAAGATGAGACRTGTGCGGGGACAGAGGACTTGTCGACGGGAGTCGACGCGGGGCCAGTGGGAGGAGCTGATATGCGCGAGAGGCATGGGGGGAAGGAATGGGTACAAGTGGGGGACGACCAAGAAGAACTTGAATGGAAAGAAGGTGGGGAAGGAGCGGAAGGGGAGGATGAACGGCCGAAGGGTGGAGAAGATGCTGGCCGCGGTGAGTCGTCTGACTCGTTCGGACACTTGTACACGATGCAACACGGAGGTGACGTCGACGACGAAGCGACGACGATGGTAATGGAGACTCAGGTGGGCATTGGCCTTTCCGCAGACCCGGATGCCTGTGACGTGTAGCCGCTGGCGGCGGCAGTGCATCTCCGGGACGTGTGCGATGAGGTCGCCATGGCAGTGCGCCGGACAAAAACGACTCATCGAATGGACGTCAACGACGTCACTGATTGCAAACTCCGCGAACAACAGGCCATATCAACTTCGTCCCCGCCTACAAAAACCGTCGGGCGCGTCGACACCGATCATTCCTTGGGCGCCGACTTGRAGACCCCGTCGCCCTGCTCTCCGACACTAGCAGACACCTTCCCTGGCGCAGCGGGTGGCGGGGTTGCCGGCTGCCAGCATCTGACGTCCCCGAAAAAAAGCAGGGTGGCCACTCAGCCTCTCGCGGTGTTTGCCTTGCCCGCGCCCCGGTCTCCGATGAAGGAACGGAGGGAGAAACCGGCTGGTAAGCGTTACTGATCTTCGCCACGTCTGCACGTTTACGTCTCTAGAGTGCCAACGATGTCAGTCGACCATCCTGTCGTTGACGAGAGGACAAGTTCCGCCTTCCCATGGACAGTAGCGAAGACGGAGGTCTGTGCGGCCACAAAAAAGGATTGTTGACACTGGCCCAGGTCTCGCTGCRCCAAAATTCGAGCCGTGAGGGGCACACACAGATCAACCGGTGTTGGCCTCGACACAGCAAATGCGGATATCGGCGGACTACAACATTGGGTCCTTTCGGTACGACACACCTGCCTTGTCCGCGTCGTGTGGAGTGTGCTATTCTTTCCTCGGCAGGACAGGTTGTTGTGGTCCGCCGGTATCCGCACCACCATTGTCAACGACATGAGGAGAGCTTACACATTGTTAAGCTCGGATTCCGGCAGACTTTCATCCGCGACCGGCACACAGAGACTGACATCGTCACCCTTCCACAGTACAAGTGCCGATACCGGCGGACCAAACAACCCCTGCCGAGAAGATAAAACAACCCTTCTATCTGCTGGTTGTTTAAGTCCGCCGTTGTCCGCGCTTCTATTRTGGGTGTGTGATGTGCTTACTCTCTGATACTCCGCTGGCATCCGCACATGCGCAAGTGTCGGCTTTCCGTCTCCCGCCGACACTGGTCGTGACGACACCGGCGGTGTACAACACACAGACCTTCCGGTGGCCCGATCTTTTTAATGCGCCGGTATCCTCGCTTCCAGTGTCAGGGCCGGACGTGGTTGGTCGGTGTCTGCGCGTTGTGGCTTCTAGTCCACYGGAATCCGAACTTCGTCGTTTGCCGGCTTCCATCCTATTTGGCCTGATGTTTTCTTGCTTCGCGTTGTGCAGGGGTCTCAGGCTCGACTGCGCTCCTCGTCTTCGTGTCCAAAGGCTCACATGGTCCTCGCTGAACCCGACCACGTGATGACAAACTCCACTGGTTGGAGAGGCCATCATCTGCATGGCTATGTCAATATTTTACTTTTCAACTTTCATCGAATCGTATATTCATTTCGGGTTCTGTCTTTCTTTTGTTTTACAGGGGTAGGGTCGACTCAGAAACGGAGGTCCTCCATTTTCTCGAAATATCCGGCACGAATGTTGCWGAAAGTCCCAGGGTTCACGACAAGACACAAGAATATGTTAAAGGCATCAGGGGTTGATGTCGAGACTGGGGAGAAGGACCATGTCGTGGCCATTGATGAATGTTTTTCCCTTCTGCCTCCGGAGAAGGGGACGTATCCGCGATCTGTGACTAGGGGTCAGGCCATGTATGAAAAATACTTAGCAGAGCATCGCGCGATGAGGGACAATCTTTAGAACACGATTTCTCACAACCCGGCGTGTGCATTGGTCGATGATGTGCAGTTGGCACCAGAGCACGTGGAGCCTGCGGGGGGATTTTCGATAACGCGATTGCGCCTTGAGTCTTGACGGTTATGGGTGACATATTCCGAGGCTTGGAGCCACCTCATCATGTTCTATCTACTTTCRGTAATGGTCAAGTGAGAATCACAGCTAAAGATCTGCTCACCGTCTTGCTTGTCGATGGGAAGCTCAACGATGAGGTGGTGAATTTCTACATGGCGCTTTTGGGGTCGACTGCATGCATGACACGTCAAACATCATCAGGTCTTCGAGTCTTCAGCTTCAGTTCTTTCTTCTTCAGTAAGCTGCAACTTCATGGACACGGTGGGGTGGAAAGATGGRCTAAGAATGTAGATCTGCTTCACTTCGATATGATCTTCGTTCCGGTGCACAAAGACAATGATCACTGGATCCTCCTTTCCATCAATATGAGGGACAATGTCTTCGAGATTTTCGACTCCTATCCTCGTGTTATAGCAGATTCAYGTTTTTACCTTAGTGTTTTCGAGTTGATTGTACAGTACTCAGAACGTCATACCTCACATGGCCGGTCGCCTAGGAGTTGGGAGTCTATGGCGGGTAACGTTGTTGTGGAAGGAGTTCCGAGACAAGTTGACGGAGTTAGTTGCGGGGTGTTCATGTTGACGTTTGCAATGTTGTTGCAACGTGGTGATCGACCACCTTTCAGGTTCTCTTTTTAAGATATACCTGTAATTAGACGACAATTGGCAACATCTCTTTTGGAACACCATTGTCTTTGATTGATTTCTATGACTTCTGTACATTTTTTTGACTATATTTTATTCAATGGCGATTGTTTTTGCTTAGACATGACATTACTCCACTGCCTTTCTCAGTGCAACTTCGTTCTCWTTTATTCGCTCAATTTCGAGTTCTGTTTAGGATGGTCGCTGTYTGTATGGTGGCATTTGTGGACTTTGTCATCTGCATCTTTTCTCGTGCGGTGGGACAAATTCTTATTGCGTTCTTTTCTCCGAATTTCACATATAAGAACCTATAGTGTGCATAACAATTGAAATCATATGATATCCGAATTTCTTGTGCGGTATAATAAATTGGTGTGTTCATGCATAACAACTCCCGACAAGTGCATCAGTGTGCAGTTCGTTACGCGACCATCACTTGCTTTGTGATTGTCTCTAGTGCATTTAACAAATGACTTCGTGTTCATGTCTGGGACTTTTGTGAATGGCCTGCTCAAGTGGAGATGTTGCTTGCCAATATAATCAACCCCCTTCTTTGTATGCATTTCATCACATAGCGAAAAAAACCCAAATATTATCAAACATACATTGCATCACTTGAACAAAGTGCAATAGCGATGACATTGAGAAATGTATTATCCACCATGGGTTCGGTTAGGRCACCACGCTYATCAAATTTCTTAAGTATAACAAGTATGGATCTCAACACACTTCCGCATGTTGGCTAAGTGCCTGGACGTGCTTGTCGCTATACTAAGTCTTCTAAAGTATAACAAGTATGGATCTCAGCACACTTCCGCATATTCGCCAAGTGCCTGGCCGTGCTTGTCGCTATACTAAGCCTTCTAAAGAACACGAATCTCACCGAATCCATATAACCGACTCGCCRAGAGGATAGACATACCTGTGTTACTCAAAGATAACCGAAGCAAGCTTGTCCAACAAGGAGACAATCAAGGTGCTTCATAAAAGTGTTGTACAACATCGATCCGGTTGTAATGCCTTGCTCATTAAATTTTTGAAGTATAAGAAGTATGGATCTCAACACACTTCTGCATGCGGGTCAATTGCCTGGGAGGATGGACAGTCGCTATACTAAGCATTGTAAAGAAGACGAAATCTCACCAAACATCCATATGAGTATTAGATTTTCGGCCGAGAGGATGGACATGCCTACGTTACTTCGGGATAGTGGAAGCGAGTTTGTCCAAGAAGGATACAATTAAGCCGCCTCGCTCCTCACAATCCTAAAGAAGTACGGATCTCAGCACACTTGTCGAACTTCTCCGACAAGGACACAATCAAGGGACCTTGGTCCTCACTATTATAAACAAGTATGGATCTCAGCACGCTTCCGCATATGGGCCGAGTGGATGGGCATGCCTACATTGCTTATGATGTAGCCAAAACTGAATTCGTTCGAAAAAGGGCACAATATAATGTCCTATTTTAACGAATAACATGTTATATATGTTTGTTTTTTTTTCAAGTTGGGGGGGGGGGGGGCTCGCCCACCATGCTTCACCACACTCAAAACGCGCACTGCAGCAGCAAAGATGCGCGCATTAATTTTATTGTTTTACTAACCAATAGTCAAGAGTATCATTATTTTTTTTTTTTTTTCACAGGTTAGGCGGCAAGCTTCCCGTTGGACTTGGATCCATATCTTGCTTCACCACACACCAAACCCGCAGTGGCCCGCTAA